TCCTAATAAAATCGGGCGGTTTGGTGGCGGTACCCAGCTACAGAAGTTGAGCAGTGAGCACCCTGGGATGCTGTGGAAAGTTGAGGATAGGCCGGTGGTATAGCTTGCAACTAAATAATGATATTCAGTCATAGGTAATAATTCCTAATTTGTCATAATAATCGAATAAAACTCGAATTAGAATAGAATCCTCTTTAGCTTGTCCACGAGCAATCTCATTATATTTGTTTATTGTCTGCATAATTGGAACCATTTATTGGTATGTATTGAATACTGCCACGTTTTGCATGAGTGTTTACATTGTTTTTCATTTATTTTCTTTAGTTTGGCATAGGGAGTTCTATTATTTGCTTCAATTAAGGGGAGTGATTTAAGTGTTGCACAGAAGGGCTGTTTGGGAAGCGTAATATTAAAACAAGATAAATAACTCAACCTACCAAATAAAGTTTGGTTCAGAGTTGCAAATACAAAAAGACTAAGTTGGTGCTGCAAACAACATAAATCCTGAAACAAAGCACGAAGCTCAAATCAAGCCAACACCAGCTATTTTAGTAATTTTTGTTATATTCCCTGACAGAATCATATTTAATTAAAATAATAATTTTAAAATGTAAATAGTCACTGATGAATGCTAAAAAAAAATCAGATCCCTCTTAAGTTAACATAGCATTTCTTAGCAGTAATTATACAACATCTCAATTAAATGTAAACATTTGTCAAGACATTTTTCAGTACATTTAATATCCTTTTATTAATATGTTTGTATTCTGACCGTTCTTAAAAAAATAATCTCAGTAGAGGAGTATATTTTTGAGTAAATATGTCTATATTATTATTATTATTATCCATTTGTTTATCTGGAAACCTGTGATTTATCTTTCAATTAGTATGCCCAGACAGCATCAAAAAGATTTACTCTTTCATATTCTTCTTTTTAGATCTTGGATGAGTTTTGCAATGTGAAGTTCTGCATAGATGCCAGTCAACCAGACGTAGGAAACTGGCTCAAATATATCAAGTTTGCTGGATGCTACAATCAGCACAACCTTGTTGCATGTCAGATAAGCGATCAGGTATGTGGTGTTCACTTTCTGGACTTATTTTTTTTAAGGAGCTTTAAGGTGTCAGTGGGGAAAAAAAAAACCAAACACCAAACCAACAGCAATTCACTACAGATTTTGGCCTCTTTGCTGTTATAGCAAAAGATAAGGCACAGATGTGAAATGCAGAATAGAGTAATTTTGATTATGGGCTGCAGATAATATGAATTCTCAATTTTTCCACTTTGTTGTTCAATTCACAAACAATCTCCTATTTTTTTTTTATTACTTTCTGTGTTATATCTGATAAAAGATGTGGCTGCTTTTTTTAGGAATACAGAGACAGTATTTGCTGATTTTTGAATTCGTAGTGTTTTCTGGCTCCTGTTCCGGTCCACTTGGATTGTTACGTTAAACCGTGGAGTTGATCAGAAGCTGTAATGTGAAATTAATGGCAAGAGTGGAGAGAAAGATCTAAAACTGATAATGCTACCAGTGTAGGTGGATGTGTGGGGCTTCGGATTTGAGTGCACACATGCATGAATATTATTCTGCTTTCTCATACACTTTGCTGGAACTCGTGATATTTGTGTGCTGAACCAGGTTCTTCAGTGGTTTTATTTTTCTTTTCATTTATTGCACTTAAATCCACTCTTTGTTGGGCTGAAAGGTTATTTATCCTTGTGTGTTTGGAAAAAAGGCCGGGATAGGCAGAGGAAGGACACAGTGAAGCGTTTTGTTTTCAATTATGCTGATGAGTTATTAGGTGTTTCTTAAATCAAGGTTTGCTTTAGTCTGCGGGTAATACATGCCGTTATGAAATATTTGAATGGGTGAAGTTAGGGTAAGAAAGCTACACTTCTGGAAAATAAAAGATCTAAAATAGCCAAGCAGCAACTGATTGTGAATTCTTGTTTCCAGTTTAAACTTTGCTACCTGCAACACAGGGTTTGATTCATTTAATCAGTGTTTCATTTTTCACCCCTTAATTAACTGCATCAGGTGAATGTTAAAGATTATCTTTAGCTGATTTAATTGCCTTGACAGTATTGAAAGAAGAATCACAACCAGACACAAAGCTGCAATTAGAAATCATTCTTTCTAATCAAATTCCTTACGTATAGGAAATGAACGTGAGACAGCTTTCTATTTCCAGCACAGCATTATGTATTTCGCTCATGCAAGATAGTTGATTAAAACTGGTTTAAATAACTTTTTCAGAAACTATAAAAGAAGATTTTTAAAAAAATAAAAAAAAATCAACTTTTACAGTTCAGCCCTGAGCACATGTAACAGAATGAGCCAGCCGACTGAGACATAATTTCTTTTTTATATAGCAGCTGGTTTAACTAAAGAAACCATAAAGATTATTAGTAAAATGCAAAGTACATTTTCCAAGTTGAAATATGCTTTACACTGGAAAACGGTAAATTCTCTCCATGCGAAGCATTTATGGAACAGTGATGCAAAAAGGAAACTATATAGATAATTGAAACAGCAAATTCGAATATGTTATGTTTAATAAGAGCTGGCACAGATAGGAAAGATTAGAAGTGGAATCACGTGCATTGATCAAAGCAACTTACTGTCTTTGCCTCAGTATTGGTGATCTGCAACTGAAAATACACGCTGGGCTGAACCACCAGCATCTACCCCTGCAACGCAGACAGGGACCCGCGTTTTGACGTTTTTGGAAGGAAAGTTATGGTGCTTGTAACTTTCTCTGTTTTTAGTGTTTACATTTCTGAGATTCGGTTATGGTGGCTGTACCGCTGCCAATAATTTTCTTTCATTCACTGGAGAGTTGTTATTTATTTTGCGCTGTATCGTGCCGCTCACAATTCCATATTTTAATAGCTTATTGTCGCTGAGATTTGCAAATTAAGAATCGGTTGTTTTTCAAGTAGCGTGTTGTGAGCTGGGCGCTGTCAGCAAGAGATTGTTGTTCATTTGGCCCTTTGGAAACGCTGCACATTTACCCACAAAATTGTACGCGCGCTCCCAATGTTTTATGACTGGAGCCTAAAAAGTTAATGCTAAAAATGTGCTCTCGAATCTTAAAGCGAAAAAGCTTTTCTAACAGCTCCTCCTTCTGCTTTCTTCTGGCACAAGCTCACCAGAGGTAATATAAAATATAATAGGAAGGCAAACTGGGAAATGGACATTACATGGCCAAACGTGTGCGTGTACAAGGAGTGACAAATGCACGTCAGGACTGAGCTTGCATATGTGGACTACGTGGGGCTGCCTTTGGGTCACTCTGCTGCTGTAGCTCCTAGAAAAAAAGGGGTAAAAAAGGAAAAAAAAAAATATTAAAAAAAGTTGGGGAAAAAAGAAGGTTTAAAAAAAGTGAAGTTGAGGATGTGTATCAGTGGTTGCAGCTAGAGCTGGAGGACAGAGGTGATGCAGCCCAGCTGGGACAGGAGGCCCCAGCTCAGCTGGAACCACAACCAGCGCTGGGTGCTGGGGTGGGGTGTCACCCCTGCTCCCCCGAGTCCCCCCTGCTTCCCCGAGGAACAAGAAGCACCTTAGCATCCCTCATCGCACAGTGAGCATCCTCGCTGTGGGAGACGCTGCTCACTCCCGAAGCACAGACACTCGATCAGCAGTAATTGTTCACCTCTAATTGCTTCAACTCATCTGTAAAATTCCCAAGCAAACATTGGGCTGTACCTGAAAAGGTAAAAGATCCTGCCAGTGCTCCCAGCCTCATGCTGCCCACAAGTTTATGCTGCTAAATTCAAGCTTGACTGACAGACAGGTATGATTCCCAGATTGCTTGGGGCAGGATTTTAGATGCATCTCAGGGCGACATGTAATCTTGTCGCTCTGCTAAGCTCTACCTTCTGTCTTTAACAAAAAGAGTGAAAGAAAAACATTTTTTGTTGTTTTTGCTATTGGACTTTTTTTTTCAGAGGTGTACCAGCCCACCCCCCAAACTCACGGTTGAGGTTAGGTTTCATCACTTAGGATCAACTTTACAAAAGGCCTGGGCTCTTTCTGGTGACTGTATAAATGAGCTCTGCTGAGATGAACAGCTCGATAATGGTGGGATGCAGTCAAAACATGCACGCGGGATGCAACTCGTGTTTCATTTGATTGGAGGTGGAGTAGAGTTTAAAAGCTGCATTTTTTGATTATTTTTTTTTTTTTTAATTTCCAGCGAGGTTGATCTAGGATTTCTTTTTGCTGTCTTCTTATTATCTCCTGTCATACCCAATCTAACCTGAACATATGTAATTCAAGATGTATATGGATAATAAAATTCCACAAACCGGGCACTCTCATTTTTTCCTTTCCCCAAAGGAAAGCTCTGTGTGCAGAGCTGCAGAGAGTCCTGTCACTGTTACTGCCCTGGAATGTGTTTTTTCAGCTCAGAGTCAGTTAGGATTCAATACCAGTTTCTGTTAACTTGGACGACCCCCCTCTGTTATCATTAAACATCTATTAGTTTCAACTTTTTAATGACTTCAGAATGATTAGCCCTGTTAGGTTTTCTGGTAGTGCTGTCATTTGAGCAAAAGCATTGTTTTTAAATATATACGTTAATGAAAATGTAGTTGCAAATACAGCAGTGACTGTAGCAATGGCATGTCAGGGGCTGTCACAGGTTCCAGGCACATTTGCAGGCTGGGATCACGGTCACCTTCAAACTATAATTTTTTTTAATTTTTTTTTTTCTTTTAAGAAAAGTAGTTGGTAGCAGTTGAAATTAAAACTCCTGAATATTGTTTTTATCTTGCTTATTGCATGCGGAGCTCTGATAGTGATAGAGCCACATAATGCTGTGAAACTGCTCTGAGGTTCCAGGTCAACAGAGCAGCTCCTGAAGATTCCCTTTGATTTATCCACGGAAAACTCCATGTGGCTCAAGATGAGTTTCCCGAGGTTTTGGTTTGCTGTGTGTGCTGAAATTGGTTTTTGGGGTTCTTTTTTTTTTGGTATGTTTTGTTGTTTCCTTATATTCAAGTATATGCTGCTGCAATGGGAGAAAAACCAGTAGCATTACACTCTTAACAACGTGCCCGATGTCAGTGATATAAACTTCCAGGAGTGAACCTACTGCTGTAGGTTTTACCAGATCTGATCCCATCTTACACCTTTTACAAACTTTTTTAATCCGCAGACACAGCTTCATGTTTCAGATTTTACTGCCGCTGCTCCTGCTCCTCAGCAGGCAGAAAACGGCAGAGACTTCTCCAGCAGCCTTGGTCACACAACCACCTGCAAAAGTTGTGTATTTAAGGAATAGTTTTGAGGCCGTGTTGTCAGAGAGTGAAATTAAGGTTTTGCCTGTTGTGGGTCAGGAGGGCACACGCACGCTGAGCTCATACGGGGCCCTATTCTGCCATGGTTCTTTCTATGAGTTATTAGTTTATTAAGCAAATAAAGCTTAATCCAGCTCCCACTGAAAATCTGTCTCCAGTGGAGCAGGGTCGTGTTAGCCTAAGGCTGGTGGAACGAGGGGCTCATCCGTGGTGATTTTCCACTAATTGCAGTTGGAGCTGAGACTGTGGATGAAAACTCCTGCCTGGTCTTTATGTCCATCTGTGTTATTTGGAGCTTAATACACTGGTGTTGTTACCGCTTTCCATGTTGGCCTGTCCTGACGTGACCTAAAAGAAATTGTTTGGAACCAAAACCAGCAACTAGTTGTTGCCATTTCTGCAAATTGATAACCTTTTTTTTGATGATTCATGTTTAATAAAAGCAGTAACGCAGATCTTCTCTAAGAAAAAATGCCTTTTTTTGTGATGAGAGCTGTTGAATCCTACTCGTATGCTTACCAGAAAGAGTATGGAGGATTATAGATGTCCACAGAACCAGAACAAGGCTACAACTCGCTTGACACTTTGCGTGGTTCATGAGTGATGTTGGAAGACAACTGCATGGTGAGGTCACCTCAGGAGAATGGGTGGACACACAACGGTTGTGGTCTGGTGTTGGTCGTCAGCAACCCCCAACCAGGAGATTTTTCAGGGCTGGAGCAGCTCGGCTGGATGTGACAGCCCCTCAACCAGACCTGGGGCTTT